TCCAAAAGCCTTCTAGGACCACTCCTTGTGACTCTGATATTCTCTAATTTCACTCTCTTGTCACTAAATAGCTATGAACCCATGGGACTAGAATCTTTCTCAAATTATAGACACTAACTTACTGGTCATCGTATTTGAAATATATTTCAGTTGTTTGTTTTAGCATTAGTTTCTTCATTCTGTGGTTAGTCAGTTGTTACTATGTGCTATGCAGATTATTAGCAACAAAACCAGGGTGGTGAACTAATCAGATACATCCCCATTCCTCATGGAGTTTACATTCTAGTGTGTGAAGTGGACTAAACTAATTTAGTGATAAGAATATAAAGAAAATAATAGGGATCATGCAATAAGCAGTTTGGGGTGGGGGGGGGGAAAGTATTAAAATAGGAATAGCACATGAGCTTAGACCTAAATAAAGTGGCAAAATAACAACCGGAAAGAACATTCTAGGAAGAAAGAATAGCAATGCTATAGTTGCTGAAGCAGGAAAAAAATTAGTGTGTTCCAGGAATATAAGGAAGTCTAGCTTTGCTGGAACAGATGAATTAATTAATGGGAACCTGCCAAAAAGTTAGGTGGGGGCAGTCAGCAGCAAGATGACTTAGGACTTTGTAAGAATTGATGTAGAATGTAGGCTTCATCTTAAGTGCATTGAGAATTCACTGAAGACCACTAACTAGGAGAATGAAAGAATCCAATTTATGTTTAAGACATATGCAGAAATAGAACCATTTAAGAAATGAGGGGAGATTCTGACAGTCAGAATGGAGAAGGGCTTGCAGTAAAGTACTGGAAGAATCAAAATATACTTTGGTGCTAAGTCAATGATCAGTGCTCTACAGCCAGGCCAGGCCTGTTTGACTACTGACCTTTTCTATACTTTTTTGACCACCCATGGAATAATCACTTAGAAATAAAATATGTGTTTGCCACTATTACTGATTGCTTTTATCTTGGTGTTTAACTTTGTGGATCTGTTTAGTTAAAGACTAAACCTCTGTTTCTCATGTTTCTACTCACATCCCCTGAGGTCTTTAAAAATGAAATTGTTCTCCTTCATATCTGAGGCAGAACATGAAACTTGCTGTTCATCCACAAGACATACAAAATCTTGTATTTTCTATAAAGTTTGACAAATATTGTTTGTCACTTAAATGTAGAGATATTTTGATTGTGAAAAAATATCTTTACCCAAGTTCCCACAGTAAATTTGTCATACCAGAAGGTTTTTCTGGGGATACTCAGTCCCTGGAAATACCAGAAACTCCCAGTGTACAAGTACTCAAGTTTGAGAAGCCCTGAGTAAATGACAGAAACTTGTCAGTTATTCATTTTACATTATATAAACAATCCATTAATAATGGGTCAAGCCTTATAATCTCCATTGGGGAGAGGGTTTCAAAGTATTTGACATCTTCTATCAAAGAAAATTGTGAACATTTTCTTACCGTCTTTTTTTTAAAGACATCTTTATGCATACAAGAACAGGGGTGCAGGCCAGAGGTGTGGGGGTTGAAAGGATTCGCCAGAGATAGAGTGAGGAGCATAACAGGTGGAACTACTGAAATGCACTGCTGAGGGGAGCAACAGGTGAGAGAATAGAGGTCTGCTGTGCCATGTGGACTAGCTACTTGGCCAGGGATTGAACTGCAGTGGCTGCAGCTACTTAACCCCTTGTGCTAGATGAGCTGGAAATTTCATCTTTTGACACAAAGAAACCAAGAATAGTAGGGAAGAACTATGTGTGCTCTAATTAGACAACTGACCCTGAATAGAAAAGGAGCACAGGCCTAGAACCACTTTGCTTAGGGTCCCACTTTGACCACTCCCTACCTGTATGACCTTGACTGCCCTCCATTTCAGTTATTTGACTCATCAAAAGACCAGAATAATACTTTTTAACTGGAATAATAAACTGAATTAATACATGTAAAATATTTACATAATAATCTTTAGGTATTAAATACTGATGTATTTTTAAAAAGGATTCTAGATCAACTACACTAATAGTAAAATTATATTTTGGTAAATATCCTCCATGGAATAGAAATGTAGCTGACAATATTATATAATTGATCAAATATGATCTGAATACTTAAATACACATACACACAATGTACTTGTCTTTCAGAGAACATTAGAACAACATTTATTTTTTAAAGATTTATTTATTTGTGCATACAGAACTGGGGTACAGACCAGAGGCTCAGGGGTGGTGAGAGGCTTCACCAGAGACAGAGTGGGGAACAGAACAGGGAGATGGACGAAGTACACTGCTGAGGGGAGCAGCGGGCAGTTCAGGAGAGGTCTGCCACGCCATGTGGTCACCTCAGGGGCAGGCAGGAATCGAACTCATGCGGAAGTGGCCTTAGATTCTCAGCGCTGTGCTTTACCCCACTGTGCCACCAGGGAGGGCCCAGAACAACATTTTTTATATAAATGCAGATAGTTTCAATGCTTTATTAAAGAGGGTCTTTTTTTTATGACTAGAGCAACTATCAGGTACCACCTGTACTGATAATATAATTCAGTACAACCAATTATGATGAAAACAAATTCTATCAATCTGACTTGTCCTATGTATAATTTCTTATTCTGCTTCTTTTGTTAATAAAGACTCACAACGATGACTGTGTAGTTTTCCCTTAAAAAAATAATCTGTAAAACATGGCATTAGACTCCTAATAGCTTTTATGAAGTGCATTATAAAACAACCAAATCAAAGATGTATAAGCAGTGTCTCTTGAGTTACCTGTTTTGCTATGTACTGCAGGCCTAATTTATCCAAAATGGAACCTGGTGCTACCTTGTCTCTTTGAATCAAAGTGTAATAATGGGAATTATTACGGAGTGAGGCAAAAGTAGTAACAGATGGAGGATAGGCCATTAAGTGGAAGCCTCAAGGGGGGTTTTCTCTTTATTGATGCTGAGTTCATATAACTATTTTGGTTTATTTATGCAAGCCATGAGGCTTGATTGGTAAAGCTATCCTGTTGGAAATATAGAGAGTAGCTATGCTAATGTGGACACTGACAAGTTTTAATGAAAGTAATATATCCAAATATATATTAGGAAACATGTTAAACTGCTATTTGCTGTCAGGAAAATGAATTTAATATTAGCAAAAATGAAACAGTAGTGAGGGTCTTTAGAGATTTTTTATTGACATATCATTTGCTCATAAATTAGCTAGACAAACACACAACAACATTAAGACTTATAAATTTATGGAAATTAGTTACAACACATCTGTAGCTATTTATAGATATAAAATTCAAATGGGTAATTATTAAATTAATGCTAAACTAAAATGGGTTTAGTTGTGGGAAGTGGAGAATCTGATGACTGTAGAAGTCATCAGTGATGAATTGATCCCCTATTCTCACATGTGATATTTGACTACTATTACCAACATAATGTGCCTTATCTGTGTGGCGCTGAAAGGGGACTATATTAATTTCAAAGAGAGTAGACATATGTCCTATAGCTGTAGGAGTTTATTGTTTAATCTGTGTCTCAATTAAGAAATAGAAGGAAATCGCTGATTCTCAGGTTTTTTTACATGTGGGTGTATACTTTGAAAATAATCTGTGGTAACACTGAAATCCTCAGTGTCTTTCTGCTGTCTTCTATGTCATTGATTGCTGTGTTGAAGTTATATTAATATTAATAATTGGCAACAAAAGATAAGAAAATTGTGGGATGCAGATATTTTATTCTGAAGATGTATATTCTTTAATATTATCAGCATGATTTTCAAAGTTTGAAATGATTTTGGTTTTCAGGTAACTTCACTAATCTATGTAATGAGTCATGCTATATATGGGTAAAAATCTTAAAATACTGCCTTCATACATTTTCCCAGAGATCCTTTGCAATCTTTATATCCATTTCTTCTCTCTTTTATTGCCTTATAGCCCTCTTTAATATTTTCTTTCCAACATATTTTATGTATATCACTTTATTTTCCATAACTATAAAAGTAATATATACTTGTAGAAAAGGTATAAAATATAAAATAAAGCTAATAATAATTATTATCAACAGCACTGAGAGATAATTACTAATAACTGATGCATTTCCTTTAGGCTTTTTCCAGTTAGTTGATATAGTTTGAACCATACTGTCATTTTACAGTAAAGCTGTTTTTCACTTTTTAAATATAATAACATTATATCATATATTTTCTCAAATTCTTAAAAATCTCAAAATCATATTTTTGGTAGCTGAATAATATATAGAAGACCTATAATCTATTTACCTGTCTTCCCATTATTAGAAATATAGGTTGTTTCTCAGATTTCCTTATTGCAGATAATGCTTATAGAATTTGACCTCATTTCTGGATTTTATGTTTCTTTTAGATAAATGTCCTGACCCTACTACCTAATCAATGTCTCATTTTGTTGTCTTATAGACATCACACATTTAACATTTCCATACAGAAACTCTTGATAATGTGTCACCAGTTTGCCATATTATAGAAAAATATAACCCTAAAATCAAGGGAAATTTCAACTAAAATAAGGAGACCCATGAATGACACTTAATAAGGGACTGACAGAAAGGTAATTTTAAAAAAAAAATAATAATAACTGTAACAAATGTGGTCATTCTCTCAGAAAAGTAAAAATGAAATGTGAAGGAAGAGTGAGAAATGAGTGCTACATGAAATAAACCCAAATGAAGCACTGAATAATGTAAAATAGTGTCTGAAATGAAGACTTATTGTTACAATAATCTCTTCAGAAGAAATAATTACAAACTTTAGGACGTAACACTAGAGCCTACCTGAATGAACTATAAAGACTGAAAAATTCTAGTTATCTGTGCTACCAATAGCCAAAATGTTAACATTTCATGAAAATTAGGGTCATATTGGTCTAAGAATCTCACCCATTCCCAGACATTACGAAGAAAAGAATGTAATAAAAATAAATTTCTTGTCAGAATGAATGCAAGTCAGATGATAATAGAGTAATATCTTTAAACTACAGGGAGACTGACCCAAGGTTCTGTGGCCTGAGCAGCAGCAGAATGGAGCTGTCAATGCTAAGAAGGGAACGACTATGGAAGGACAGGTAGGGGACAACCATCATGAGCCTGTTTCTAGAAATGTTAAATGTGCAGTTGTCTAAGGCAACCAAATGTCAAGTTGATTAGTCATTGGGAACCCAGGAATTATCCAAAGCTGGGATCTGAACGGTCATTCTACCTCCAAGTTTGATGCCCTTGACCATGTTATTAAAGGTCTTAGAGCTGGTATATAACAGAACCAGAATTCTAGCCATATCTTCTTTTTGCGGTATCATATGGGTGGCATTATTATTCTTAAGATTTTCAGCATCTCCTCTGTCCTTCATTAATCTCTGATTTTTCTTTTGTTCTTAAATATAGATAGGAAGTTTTACCTAATTGCCTCTCCCCGTAACACTTACATGTTCCTGGGAGGCAGACAGCTTTTATCAGGAAAAGGAGAGGTTTTCTGGATTGTGCAGAACCAGATGGGTGGGAGAGGGATGGTATCAGTTCTTAATGCCTGTCATTCCAACTAGCAAAAGATCCCATATGGTTTCCTTAAGGAACATTTTAGTTCTCACTGAAAGAACATAGCACTTCCTGTAAGTGCATATGCCTCTATGTAGAAACATTTAAATATTAGCCCTCATCCTATATTTTTAAAGTTGAGATTGACCTTAAAGTATAGCTCTGTGAGCCCTTTTTTACATAGACTACATCGTAATGGAAATGGGGTCAATAGATCCAGTGGAGTCCTGTGATTTTTTTTTTTTTTTAATGTTTCTGTTCTCCCTGGTTTCTCGTAAAGTCTCATGTACCATCTTGAGACAGGGGATGAAGGCAGAATGAACCATCTTAAATATATGTAATAGCCAGAGGATTCAAAGCCAATTATGTGCGGTCTTACTGTGAATTTATATGAGTATTAGTAAACCCTTAGAAACATTTGTGGTACTGTGCATATACTTCGCTATTTCTCATTTAAGTTCTGTAAGGGCATTAAAAATTGGGCAGGAACATATATATTTTTAACATATTGTGAATTTTCAATGATGGAGATTTTATAATTTTCCCTATCACTGGTAGAAATTTAGTGACAAACCCAGAATCTAGAAGCGAGATAACATCTTGATTAAAAACAAGATTATGGAGTCAAAATAACTCTGGGTTGACTACATTTTACTTGTTTGCCCTGGTAACCTCTTTGTACCTGTTTCTTATTAATGACATAATCTATATAAAGTATTTTCAACAGCATGGAACACAAAACAAGTGGTATTCAGGTTAGCTATTGTTATGACTGTCATTGTTGTTACTATTATTATTGCTAGTCTTAATGTCTAGAAAAAGACAATGTGGTAATTATAGGCCTGTTTGTGAAGAACAAGGTGGAATGAGATTAGGAAATGATTGAAGGTAACTATGTTTCCAACTAGCCCAATAAAACTTAGATTTAACTATATGTGCACTTACAGTGAAGATTCTGAAACTTTGTATTGATTTTGTGATTTTCCTTCATATTTCAATGCCTTTTAAAAACCTATGTAGATCCCAAGTAAGAAGATTCCAAGTAAAAACAAGGCTAACTATAAAGGTCATGTAAAAAGGAATGATTAAGTGATAAAGAAATTGATTTTTAACTTAATGACTCTAAAAAGTCAATGATATTAATATAAATGTAACTTCCCAAATACTCACATTATTATACAGGCATCATAAATCTTTTTAAATAGATGTAGTGCATTTTCTTTTGCATATCTTCATTTTTTGAGTACTGAAATTAATTGTTTGCATTGTAACATCTATCACAATGCTTCCTAGGCCCTGAGGGTAGCTTTTGACCTAGAATGGTGAACATCACATACGATATCTATCCCAGTTACATAATGCTGAATGTTGCTCTATTGAAGTTATGATAAACTGAAAAGCCTTGAGTATGGGGTAGGAATTGTAGGTGTAAGGAACTTGTAATAATAATTTGCTCTACCTGTCTAAAGCATACAGGATCTTCCCCAGAACCATCGTTGTTTTCTATAACAGGAATCTCCATTAAAATTGCTTCCAAAATTTAATTCCTTAACTTACTTTATTTATTACTGATAAAGTAAGAAAGGGTAGCATTTTAAACCTGTCCTTGACAAAAGAGCTCAATAATTGTACTCCACAATATTAACATTTTTGGCTGCTTCTTTGCCAGCCAAAAAGAATTTAGGACAGTACTTGTGTTCTATAGCACTGAAAGAGATAGTGCAATTAAAATAAGTGACTAATTCATGCCTTAAAAAAAAAAACTGCTCTAAATTTAGATTGGTGTTAACTGTAACTCTAAACTCTGATAACCCACTTGTGAAGCATTTGTCAACACAGAGTTCTGAACCTTTCCCCAGGCCTAGGAATTCTGGGTGTCCTGGTATTGGGTAGGACTGAAACATTAGTATTAAAAGTGAAACAAAAATCCTCACAGATGGTTCTGATGCATAAGCTGTTTTGGAAACCACTGCTTTAAATTCTCTTTGAATTTGAAAAATGGTGTCACCAGATCAAGGCAAAATGGAGCACATTAGAAGCAAACAAGAAGACCTCTCTCTTATGTGAAAATCTTTGTAAAAACATTTAATGACCCTACACTCCTGACATACTGGTGGTATATTCAAAGAAAGTGCATTGTTCCTAAGAGATACTAAACACAGAATTTGCCTAATGTTGCTTAGACTTAATCATTAAAATCGTAGTTATTTAAAAACACCTGTAACAAGTATATATTTTACTCCACAAACATATATTTATTTAACTTATTTTTATTTAAAAAATTCAGTTATTGTTATTGAAGTACCACTGTTTGTGCTTTGACAGTATAAAAATCCACACCCACCACCCCCCACATGAAGTCACTGTGGCACTCTGACAAAGGAAATTCCCACAGTCCTTCACTATAGCCCACTATGTTACAGTGTTTTTACTTCCTTTAAATATATGCACTTTGAAAATGTGTCTGTTGTCTGTTTCTTGTCCTAAATTCCTCTCTGAACATCAATCCTATAGGAGCTCATACTTTTGAAGAACAGAAAACCTCCAGAGAGTTTCTTTAGGAAAATTCTACTCTCCCATTTGTGTCAATCTTTAGTGAACCAAGGGGATGGAGAGGTTTAATTAATTGTAGACTTCAAACTTGGGGACCAAAAAAAAAAAATGCAACAAATTCAAATCACAATACTCTAATACGTATCAATAATCATACCTCCCCCTTGAGAAAAGCAGCTTATCTTAGTGCAAGTCAGAAATATTCTATTTTCTAATCCTCCCTTTCTTTGTTGAAACAACTCTTTTTATAAAATATTTCAGGTAATTCTACATTCCTTAAATTTTCTATGCCCCTGTTATATCAGACCAGACGTCTTTTAAGCAAAAGCCTGTGAGAGCCAGGAGATGATGTTGATTATATCATGGTCCTATCTATGGCTAGATGCCAAAGTCAAAAAGTAGAGGTAGTGGACAGGTGGGTAGAGAATTCTAATCCAATTTCCACACCTGTAACTGGCTACTACATAATTCCCTTGAACTGTTGTGTGACTAGATGTTCCTCATAGGAACCTAGTGATCCTGATGAACACAAATTCCACATACACTGTTAGCAAATTTTATTTCACTTTATGTTTTGCCACCTTCTTTCCTTCAGTAAAGTATTACATAGTAAACCAGAGTCTAAGTGACCTGCATTCAAATTAGCTTGACCTCTCTCTCATCTGTATCACTGTATCCTCTCTATACTTCAATTCCCTTACCCAAAAGCTTTAGCTCATATCCACTGGAAAAGTTTATTTATATAAAAATTAAAGGTAATGATGTATTATGACCCAGCAGTGAGTGAGAAATTTGGGGATGCTCCATTATTACAATGACTTTATACTCAGCTCCTTTCCTTTACTACCCCACTGCACAAAGAAAATCCCAGTTCCAGAATTCAGACAGACCCCATAGTTTTTTATAGAAAATTTTATGTAGATACAAAAGAGAAGATTTTACTCTCACTCCACCATGCTGCTTTGCAGGTACTAGGAGCTGAGTGAGAGTTTGACTTGTGATACAAGCCTATGGATTCCACTGACTCTTTCCCGTTGTGACCATGTCTTTGCAATGTCTGTTTTTATTATGATCCTCATGCAGTTTTTGCTACTTAGTATCCATTTTAGTTGTGATCAAAATTAATCTTTCTAAAATTTCTCCCATCTGCTATATCTATTCTGGATTAGATAGACATGGTAGATGGATGACTCCACTCTATTGATAGGCTTAAAAAAAGAAAAGAAAAACATCCTCCATCTGGTTTTATTATCACTGTGTTTTCATTCCGGTATTTCATGAAATAGCGTCTTTGACTTCTACTGGATATAATGGTCCGGTTAAGAGCTCCACAACAGCGGTCTCCTCTAGATCATTGACATAGGCCATGAATCCTAGATCAGAGATAGACTTCACTGTCAATCATCTCTGATTCCTGTGTGATTACCAGTCAACCTGCTGGAAATACTTTGTCCAGTAACATATAAGGAGAGAACTTATTTAAACCTCCTCAGAGGACAGACAGGAAGGCCATCGGTGTGATTATCTCCAAAATGTGTTTGGCAAGGAGGGAGAAGTACTTTGGGAAATGAGAAGAATAACTGGAGGCATTGGGGAAAATATTAATACTAACTGAGATCTGCCAATGCCAAGCATTCTGATAAGTTATGTGGATATATACTTTTTTATTAATTTTTATAATATGCTATCTGTCAAAATTTTATAGGACCGAAAATAAAAAAAATATTAATAACTTGTCTAAATTTGCACAGCTAATATGTAGTAGAGCTGGGCAAAGGAAGGTGTGTGTTTAACCACCTAGAAGATTAAATATTTGAAAATTATTCAAATATTCCTAACCTTCATACTGTCCCCAAGATCTGAAGAAGCATTTTTTTCTATTAAATGGAAGTTTTGCTGTAATAGGTTCATATGCTTGGCATTGCCACATTTCCAGACATATCTTTGCCTTCTCCCTGACCTGCCTCCATGTTTCAACCAA